TCTAAATTGAGGCCCCTTTTAGGGTCCCTTTTACGTTTAGGGTTTCGGGTTTAGGGTTTTAGGGTTTAGGGCTTTAGGGTTTAGGGTTTAGGGTTTTAGGGTTTAGGGTTCAGGTTTTAGGGTTTAGGGTTGAGGGTTTAGGGTTTAGGGTTCCTTAAAGGGGTCTAACAGGGTTTCTATAAGGGTACTGTAAGGGTTCCATTTGGAGAGTTTTCTGAATTCGGGCCCCCCGTAGGGTCCTTTTTTATCAGGGTGCCATACCATTTAGGAGACCTATAAAGGGACCCTCATGGTTTGGGGCGTTCGGAGGGGTTTTTGGCGTTCTGAACGCTTAGCACATATATTTGGGTTTTTCGACATTGGCGGTTTTGAGGTTTCTTAGGGTTTAGGGTGTATCAGGGGTGGTCTGAAGTTCAAGAAGGTCAAACCTGCACGCCCTGAACGCTAAAGGGTTTAGGGTTTGGGGTTCAGGGTTTAGGGTGGGAAGGGTTCAAAGCGTAGGGTTTCCCGTAACCCTAGCTAGCGCCAAAACCCTCGGACATACATGAGATCCCAGAAATCGGTATTCAGGTCATACGGTTGATGGACAAAATCCTGCATGACCTTATTATACCTAAACTATGGGATTTATGGTACTATACTATATTTGGGTCATGCAGAATTTTGTCCATCAACAGTATGGTTGGCCTGCAAGCTAGTTCCCCTCTGGCTCTCACCACTTGGAGGTTCATGGGTAGCTTTACCTGGGCGGATACATCCCCGATAGTTACCTTATAACCCCACTTATAACTACCCATGAACATCCAAGCAACAACCACACCTCACTAAAGATCTCTTGGAAAACCCTTGAAAGACACTGTTAGGGTTCAGGGTTTAGGAGCAAAAACTACCAAAAAACACTACTAAATCCTAAACCCTAAACCCTAAAAACCACCGTGCTCAGAAGAGGCGCGTTGATTGTGCCCGACAGGCTCTGCGCGTTGACTCCCAGCGCCTCCATGCGAGCTCGTGCTTTTCGGGTGTTCGGGTTTATGGTGTTAGGGTTTAGGGTTTAGGGTGTTAGGGCATTCAGGGCCCTCACCCTCAACCCTAAACCCTAAACCCTAAACCCTAAACCCTAAACCCTAAACCCTAAACCCTAAACCCTAAACCTAGACCCCCTACAAACATTAAAACCCTGAGGCCCCCGAACCCGAAACCTCCCCAAATCTCGAAACCCCTACACCCCAAAGCCCTAAATTCGCTTAATCCACGTTTAAAAACTTAGACGCAAGAACCGACGGTTTAGGGCTTTTAGGTTTAGGGTTTAGGGGTTTAGGGTTTAGGGTTTAGGATTTAGGCTTTAGGGGTTTAGGGTTTACCCTAAACCCTAAACCCTAAACCTTAAACCCTAAATCCTAAACCCTAAACCTTTAGGACTCAGTTTTGGAACCCCTCCTGCATGCTCGCCAGCACCGTGCTTAGGCTCAGGGCAGACCGCAGGGCCACGGTGATCATCTCGGCGACCTCGTTAGGGTTTAGGGTTTAGGGTTTAGGGTTTAGGGTTTAGGGTTTAGGGTTTAGGGTTTAGGGTTTCGTCTTGCTGCCGAAATTCGCGGATTCAGGGCTGTTGGCTAAGCCCTAATCCTAAACCCTAGACACAAAATTCCAACCCCTAAACCTTAAACCCCTAAACCCAAATTCATAAACCCTACACCCTAAACGCCTGAGCCCAAAATCCCCCCTAAACTCTGAACCCCTGAGCTCAAAATCCTAAACCCTAAACCCCTTACCCCTAAACCCAAAATCCTAACCCCTAAACCCTAAACCCCTGAGCCCAAAATCCTAAACCCTGGATGCATCCTCAATCCGAGGGCGATTAGGCTTCACTGTTCCCAGACCTTCCAAAACCCCTTAATTTTTTAGGGTTTAGGGTTTAGGGTTTCAGTAGTGTGCCTTAAATCATAGCGGGGATCCCTGATATGGTAGTAGGGTTTAGGGTTTAGGGGTTTAGGGTTTAGGGTTTAGGGCTTAGAGAAACAAGTGGGGTTTGGGATTTGAGAGCCCGGTAGAAGTAATGCTAGTGATACCGTCGGGGCCTGAGTAGTTTAAGGTTTGGGTTTAGGGTCTAGGGGTCTAGGGTTTAGGGTTTAGGGTTTAGGGGTTTCAAGAGGGTCTTGGGGCATATTGAAGTATACATATATGGGTAGCTCCCTAAGTTAGGGTCCCTCTTGGGATCAGTTTCGGGACCCAAGACGGGAACGTAATTTAGAGATTTACCCCAAAAGGGACTATAAGGGATCGTACGATGCCTTTTGTCTCACTTGTAGTCGCGAGAAGTCTGCATTTTGGTTCCCTGTTTTGGCTGACAGAACTTGTCCCAACCTATCTGGCAATAGGGTTTGGAGGCCCATTATAATGTAATCAAATAAGGAGCCCTCAAAATTGTATTGGTATTTATTCAGGCTTCTATAGTGGTTGCCAGTGCTTAATTTTCGGCAGAGACTGAGCAGCATGAACCAAGTAAGTAGCAAGCAGAAGGAAGCAACTAGCAACCAGAAACTACAGCCCACTTGCCCTCATTGAACCGCGAACCTGTCTTAGAGAATCTAAGGCATCTAGCTGCATGAAGGTCAACAGAAGCCCCAGACATAAAGCAGCCTAAGCCCCCTAAACCCTAATAGGGGCCTTCATGGGGCACTTTATTAAAATGATAGTACAATATACCCCAAAAACCCTATTCTGTTTATTAAGGCCTCTATATTAAAGCCTAAACCCTAAACCGCCTGAATCCCTGCACCCTAAACCCTGATGCCGCGTGAGCTGCCGTGGATTGCAAGACGGCTTGGGTCTCACCGCAGATGAAAGGACCTGGGCTATTCTTCCGGACGCCATCAACATGACCAATGACAACCCTTGATTCCGATCCTTAACAAAAAACCTAACCCTCAACGAAAAGCCTAAACCCGAAACCCTTAATAAACAACAAAAAAAACACAAAACTCCAAAACAAACTCATATAAACCCTAAACCCTAAACCCTAAACCCTAAACAACAAAAAAGAACACAAAACCCCAAAAATAACCCAGAAAATTACAGCCCGGCGACTGTCCAACGGAAAGGCGGAGTCGGCACAGTTCGTCCAGCAGCGCGCGCCGAAGGCCTGGTAGCCATCGGGACAAGCCTCCCAAAGCGGTTTGGGGTTTGAGGGTTTAGGGTTTAGGGGTTTAGGGTTTAGGGTTTACGGTTTAGGGTTTAGGGTTTAAGGTTTAGGGTTTGGGGTTTAGGGTTGGGGCCTTAATAAATAGAATAGGGGTTCCTTTAAAGGGGTCCTTATAAAGGGATACTATAAGGGATCTATAAGGGGCTTCTATATTAGGGTTCTTTGGGGGGTTCCTTATTATAATCTGTTTTGGGGGCTTAGGGGTTTAGGGCTTAGGATTTAGGGTCAGGGATTAATATGACAGGATCGGGGGGGGGCTTTGTCAGTAGGTTACAAGTGGACAGTTTTCTGAATTAGGGCCCTGTTTTGGGGTACTTTTTGTCAGGGTGCCGTGCTACCTAAACCCTAAACCCTAAACCCTATACTGGGGACCTACAGCGGGACTCTAACTCAGAGAACTGCCCAACTCGAGTTGCAAGTACTTTGATTAGGCATATCCTGCTAAGCGAGCCCCATGATCCCCTAAGAAGCCATGCGGTCTAGGGTTTAGGGTTTAGGGCTTAGGGCTTGGGGTTTAGGGTTTAGGGTTTAGGATTTCGGGCTTAGGATTTAGGGTATAGGGTGTAGGGTATAGGCTGAACACTGAAACCCCAAGAGACCAAAACCCCAGACCTCACCCTCAGGCCCCAAATAGCCCAGGTTTCATACCCCTAAACCCTAAACCCTAAACCCTAAACCCTAAACCCTAAACCCCTAAACCCTAAACCCTAAACCCTAAACCCTAAATGTCTGGAGCCCCCCAGCATAGGGTAGTTGTATAAATCCAGGAGCCTTTCTGCTTAGAAGGGGGCCTGATAAGTTGTTCCACAAGGCTTGACGACTGATTTTCTAGGGTTTTTGTCAATTTAGGGGTCTCTTAAACTGAAGCTCTTTAGGAGCCGTAGGGCGATCCGATTCACAAGCGGGCCTGAAGGATTAGAATACGGTTTTGGGGGGGTCTCTTGTAGTCTAACTATGCCACGGAAGCCTAGGAAAAAATGTAGGTACCCCTAAACCCTATACCCTAAACCAGGGCTTCAGACCTCTATGCATGACCTGATGCAGGCCGTGTAGCACCTTCAACTCACACCTCTCTAGGGTTTTGGGCGTAAGGCTTAACCCTAAACCCTAAACCGTGGGCTTAGGGTATAGGATTTAGTCTACGCAGAACTCTCAAAAGCCTTGTAGCACCATCCCCCGTTCTTCTCAACATCCTCTGCCACGGTGGTGTCACAGCGTGCCGGGACAGTGCCCTTGGGCTTCTTCTGCCAGGCCTTTGGCTCGCTTGCTTAACATATCTTTGGTGTGTTTCCGGAACTTTCTAAAGGTTCCATAGTACCATGAGTTTTAGGATCTTAGAGGTTTAGGGTTTCAGGGCTCAGGGTTTGGGTTTAGGGTTGACGGTTTCAGGGTTTATGGTTCAGGGGCTTTGGGTTTAGGATTTCAGGTTTGAGGGTTTAGGGTCTAGGGTTCAGTCTTTAGGGTCTTCGGGTTAGGGTTTAGGGCTTGGTCGAGGTCTCGGGCTCATGTGATATAGGGGCTCTAATTATGTTTCAAGAGGTCCTTGGGTGTATTACACATGGTGTAAATATTTCAGGACTAAGCGTAACCTGGACCCTAGAAAACCTTCCTTTTTAGGGTTCCCTGTTATGATTTCCCCATATAAGTCTTTAAAAAGGTAGGTTTTGGGGGGTCTGCGAAGGTGATGCAACCAAGCATCCAAACGTCATCGTGTTTTTCCTATCGCGGCGTCTTTCGCTACGATTGGGGCAACCAAACCTTAAATCCCAAGACCAACCCGTAGAATAACTCACTGATTAACAGCTTCTAATTTACAATTAATAGGGCCCCAAAAAAGCATAGGGATATCCCATATAAACTCCCTTATAATGAAGCCCAACAAGGTAGGGATATCCCTATAAAATGCTTATGCTTGTGTCCTTTTGTGGTCCTTAAATTTAGGGGATCAGGTGTGGGGCCGGCAGGACAACCCGAATTCCCCGAACCCGGACACGGCGTGCCGTCCGGGCGTCAGCGCGGTCCAGGGAAAGAAGCGATGCGCAGGGGACCTCCTCGCAGTTGCTCCACTCGCCACGGCGATACTCCTGAGATGGTTCAGGGTGTAGGTTTTAGGGCTTAAGGTTTAGGGTTTAGGGTTTAGGGTGTTCGAAGTTTAGGGTTTAGGGTTTAGGGTTTAGGGTGTTCTAATGCAGGGCTTACGGTTTGGGATTTTGCTACACTCTCCGGTGTCGGAATCGCCGGGACGGGTGTTTGCGCTCAAGGGCTCATTGGCTTTCGGTATGAGTCTCAGGGATTCAACACAGTAAGGGTTCAGGGTTCAGGGTTTAGGGTTCAGGGTTTAGGGTTCAGGTTTTAGGATTTATTTAAAGTTCAGGGTTGAGGGTTCAGGATTTAGGATTTTTAAAGTTTAGGGTTCTTCTGCCACACATGGCAAGTCCAGGAAGTCCTGATGCTTGAATTTAAACCCTAAACCCTAAGCCCCCAAACCTTCGAATCCCAATCTCGAAATCTCTTAACCCCCCAGACCCTAAACCAATGAACCTCTGAACCCCAAAAGCCATCAAACCCCAAACCCTAAACCGAAACAACACCTTAGCCCAAAACAACAAGCACCTGAGAAAGTAGGGCAAAGGTTTAGGGTTTAGTGTTAAAGGGTTGCGGGTTTAGGGTTAAGGGTCTAGGGTTTTGAGGGTTTAGGGTTTAGGGTTTAGGGCAGGGTTAAAGTAGATACGCCTCTGCTTGCAACCTACTTACTATCGAAGTCGCCTGATCCTTGTTCTGCCGAGCATCTGCATGGTGAGCGCACCAGGGGCGGTTGTGGTGCTTCGATGTGCAGTTGTTGTACCTCGGAGCATGCGGTTGAGGGGTTCAGGGTTTAGGGCTTTAGGCCTTTGGGGTTTAGGGTTTAGGGTTCAGGGCTTAGGGTTTACGGTTTTAGGCTTTGGGGTTTAGGGTTTAGGGTTCAGGGTTTAGGGTTTAGGGTTCAGGGTTTTGGGTTTACCATTCAGGGTTTTGGGTTCTAGGATTTGGGCGAAGGGTTCAGGGCTTGGGGTTGGGACTAAACCGCAAGCCCACGTGCTCAGACCCGGAAGCCCTGAATCCCAAACCAGAAACCTAAGCACCTAAAGCTTATAACCCTAAACCCTAAACC